CATGTTCCCCAGCAACAGTGCTTAGCATTAACCATGTTTGTAATTTGGGATAAATTTGAATTCGTTTTAGCACAGATAAAATAAATAAAAACGTCAATTTAGACCAATTTATGTTCGCTGCTAGTACAATTCTATACAAAATATTAGTTTGTTTGTCTGAGTCTCGTGGGGGGTCTTCACTTGGAGAATCTATTTTTAGCTACTGCGGACAACGCTATTGGTAGTATAGTCTAATTGATAGTATAGTCTAATTGATAGTATAGTATAGTCTAATTGATAGTATAGTCAATTGATCTGCTAGTCGAGTGGTAGTCTCCAGGCACAGAATAAGGCACACAGAAGGGCCCCCTGGCCGCCATCTTCCTAGCCAGTCGATTAGATTTTCTGGGCAATAAACGCGCTGTATTGGCTGAAGGCCCCGCCTTCTGGCCAGTCAACTGCATATTTTTGCATAGAAAAATGGCGACACGTTGCAGGTGTTGCAGGTATTACATAAGGAAGAAGTTCTATGCTCCAGGTGTTGCATAAGTGATCGATCCCTGCTGTAGTCGAAACCATCTTAATTAATTCAACCCGAGACAAGAAAGGGTTAAGTAGAATAAAAAAAGAGTTAAAGCATGCGTAGGCGAGATGGTCTATTGGTAAGGACAAAGTGTTGCAAATCCGTAAAGCCAGGATCGATTCCTGGTTGTGCCGAAAGCATTTTTATGTCAGGCATTGTTGTTTATTAATTCCACCCGAGACAAGAATGAGTTAAGTAGAATAAAAAAGAAGTTAAGGCGAGATGGTCTAGTGGTAAGGACAAAGTGTTGCAAGTGCGTAAAGCCAGGATCGATTCCTCGTTGTGCCGAAAGCATTTTAATGTCAGGCATCGTTGTTAATTAATTCCACCCGAGACGAGAAAGAGTTAAGTAGAATAAAAAAGGCGTTAACTAAAGCATGTGTTGGCGAGATGGTCTAGTGGTAAGGACGAAGTGTTGCAAGTGCGTAAAGCCAGGATCGATTCCTGGTTGTGTCAAAAGCCTTTTAATGTCAGGCATCGTTGTTAATTAATTCCACCCGAGACGAGAAAGAGTTAAGTAGAATAAAAAAGGCGTTAACTAAAGCATGTGTTGGCGAGATGGTCTAGTGGTAAGGACGAAGTGTTGCAAGTGCGTAAAGCCAGGATCGATTCCTGGTTGTGTCAAAAGCCTTTTAATGTCAGGCATCGTTGTTAATTAATTCCACCCGAGACGAGAAAGAGTTAAGTAGAATAAAAAAGGCGTTAACTAAAGCATGTGTTGGCGAGATGGTCTAGTGGTAAGGACGAAGTGTTGCAAGTGCGTAAAGCCAGGATCGATTCCTGGTTGTGTCAAAAGCCTTTTAATGTCAGGCATCGTTGTTAATTAATTCCACCCGAGACGAGAAAGAGTTAAGTAGAATAAAAAAGGCGTTAACTAAAGCATGTGTTGGCGAGATGGTCTAGTGGTAAGGACGAAGTGTTGCAAGTGCGTAAAGCCAGGATCGATTCCTGGTTGTGTCAAAAGCCTTTTAATGTCAGGCATCGTTGTTAATTAATTCCACCCGAGACGAGAAAGAGTTAAGTAGAATAAAAAAGGCGTTAACTAAAGCATGTGTTGGCGAGATGGTCTAGTGGTAAGGACGAAGTGTTGCAAGTGCGTAAAGCCAGGATCGATTCCTGGTTGTGTCAAAAGCCTTTTAATGTCAGGCATCG